ACTCCCACATTTACTGATGGCTTGGCACTACTTTTGTTCCTTCCCAGTGAGATCATTTCCTAATAATCCCTTCCCCTCTCAGACCTTGCCTACACCGTCAAATACTTCTCACATTTAATGAGATATTCTTTGTCTTACTGGAGGTATAGCTATTCATCCTAACAGCATTGAATTTTCAACTGAATGCATGAAGAATAGATCAGGGGAAGAAGCAGTGTATAACATGTGGTTTCATGTGTCTAAAGAAATAAAGAGATTCAGTTTTGATTATGAAATTAATTGATCTTCAGGCACGTGGGACAAGTGAAGGCAGACATGCTATGATTGTGAGCAAATGGCTCAATCATGTTAAGCAAAGAGGAATTACAAAGTGTGAAACAATAAGAAGGACTCAACATGGAGTAGGTTGGAAATATAAAACTGACTTACTAGGACTTCCTTTGCAGAACTAAATTTTTGAGATGTAATACACATAGGTGTGAAACCCAGGATGAGTTCTCGACTTTGGCAACATAAAAATACAAGCGTTCACACGTTCTCTTACACGTTACTGAGGGTCCATCAAAATGTCTTACAAATGCAGCCAAAAGATTCTCTTATTCTTGTGTCTACCTTTTGCAAAACACAGTTGTTTGAATTTTGATGTCCTCTCCTAATTATGGATTGAGACCTATTTTTGCATCAGACATTTTCGAGCATAACAATCTACCTTCTAAATACATTTTCCACTGCACTGAAATAAACTCAAGTATGCATCCAAAGAATTAATGGCAACATAAAAGCTGACAGCATTGGCCAATCTTGGTAGGTAAGAAGACAATAAGGGCAGGAATAAAGCCCTCTTACCTGATCGCACACCAGGATAGCAATGAAATTGCAGGAGGAAATGAGAATGACAGGAAAACCTTGAGTGGATCCAACTCACAGGTGATGCAATAACTGTCGAGCAGGTGTCTTTGATAGAGCTGTTCTTATTGCATCATTAAGATAACACTGAGTTATGTGAGAGTGCAGTGAGAGAAGACAGAAGACCCTGAGACCTGTGTGTTCCAGCAGCTGCTACTATCAGGATTTTCTTGCAGACATTTCCTCTCTCCTGGCCCTTTCCTGTCAATACTGGGACAGTCAGTTATAGCCACTTTTCACTGCCTGAATATGCAGTGTGGTGACTCTATCTGTGGAGGCACTTCCTGAGCCAGGAGTTGTAATCTTGTCTTCTCTAATCAGTTTCATCTGTGGAAAGTGGTCCTTCCACACTGTAAATCTTACATGACCTCACGCCACCACATGTCCCCCACCTTACAGAAACTTCTCTCTGCTTCCTCCAGATCCCCAAATGCTGCAAAGTTGGCTATATATACTCAAGGAAACTTATACCACTCATTGTCTACTGGAATTAATATTTTCTTGCCCTCATTTCTTCATTAGTCATGCTATTGCCTCCTAGGAGATCCAACAATTTCTACCTCTATGATAATCACTGACAAATACATTCAATAGTTAAGTATAGCAGTCATAGCCCCAGCCATTTCCCAGGTGTTAACTAGGTAATTTCAGTTCTAGGTTAACCCCAGGAAAAGCTGTCTGTGTCTACAGTCTGGGCCTGTGTCTCCCAAGTGTACCAAGCTCACCTGCATGGGAACTCTATGACTAAAGTGTCTGTATGGATGCCCAAATTCCTCCTTGGATGATGGATGCTGGTGACTGAAGCTCCTACTCAGGCACAGCAATGGGATTGAGGGAAGCTCTGGTCCCTGAGCCAGACTCAGGACCCGAAATGCAACAAGCAGGCTGCTTCTAGCCCGAGGTTGCACAGTCTGAGGGACCACAGCAGAGGAGCTCCTTACAGCTCCTGGCACCTGCTCATTAGGCAGCTCCCTGACCTCTAAGCACCTGCTGGCCCTGAGGGATTCTGGCTAGGACACAAAGCTGTGTTCTTGCAGGTGTTTCCCAAGAGAGCATGATGGACTCAGGTGACTTCTCTTTCTCTATCTGCCACTCTGCGGCAACGGCAAATAGCTGACATTTAGTTCCTCACTTTAAAATGTTTTGCTTAGTGAGACAAGCGAGTTCCTAAAGATAAGTATGTGTTCCATATTAGTCATAGTAAATTCTGAATACAAAAATAATGTAGAAATGGAAAGAGCATCTTGAGATTTGATTGCTGTTTCTACACCTGGGAATCTGATTTCTCTAATTTTTTACTTGTTGAATATGATGGTTGGTGGTGCACTCAGCCTATGACTAATATGTTGTAGTTAATATTTTTATAACTTCTCTCTTAGAGAAGAATTTTTATATACTTCTCTCTTAGAGAATCTAGCTTACAATAATTTATTATATATTTGAAATTAGCTAGAGTTGTCTGTGTCTTAATATTTATAAATTTTTGTAAAATTTCATTTATTCTCTTTGGAAAGTTAGGTATACAGAGAGAAGGAGAGGCAGAAAGGAAGATCTTCTGTCTGAAGACTCAAACCCCAAGTGACTGCAATGGTCAGAGCTGAGCCAATCTAAAACCAGGAGCCAGGAACTTCTTCCGGGTCTCCCACACAGGTGCATAATCCCAAGGCTTTGGGCTGTCTTCAGCTGCTATCCCAGGCCACAAGCAGGGAGATAGATGCAAGCATGGCTGCCGGGATTAGTACCAGTGCCCATATGGGATCCTGCTGTGTGTGAGGTGAGGACTTTAGCCACTAGGCTACCACACTGGTGCATCCTTTTCAGATGAGTTTTATTGTCCAACCAGATTTGACCTGTCACCAAGTAAAGTAAACCTGTCTCTGTCTCCATGGAAGCCACCTTAGGCTGTAGTCCCACACAAAGCAGGCGTACTTCTCTCTTAGAGAATCTAGCCCCAAAGTCAGTTCTTTGGCTTTGTGGGGGGTGCTGTGACCCATTCTCTCATGGCCCATGCCTGCTCTGTCACTCACAGACAGCTACAAGTGCTCCGTGTTTCCTGTCTAAACCCTTCCAGCTTTCCTGTCTTTCTGCTGGTGCAGTGACCCAGGCTGTGGAAGAGCCCAGAAGTCATTCTTCCCCTGTCCAACAAGCTCTCAATCTCTCCTACTCCAGTATATACCCAGGCCTCCTTCTGCAGTTCTCTTCCTGGAGCCATGATGGCATGCCCCAGCCTCAAGGCTCCCAACTTCCCTATTTATCGTTTTAAAAAGGAAAAAAAAATCAGAATAAACAACTCTGTTGGCATAGTGGGTTAGTTAACACAAATTTGGCATTTCCCAGGCCAAGGCTGCCCACCAGCTACTAGTTGCTTTCCCCCCAGTACTGTAATACGTGCTAGTGACCAGGCAGGCTAGGCAGCTGTGTTCCATTGCTGACTCACTGTCCTTGAAAGGAGCCTCAGAATGTGGTGGAATATGCCATCCATATCTTTGACCTGGTCTCGTTTCAGTGTTACAACCGTGTATGGGAATAGCAAATTCTTTCTCTCTCTCTCTCTTTTTCTTTCTCTCTCTTTCCCTCTCTCTTTCTTTCATTCTGTCTCTTTTTCTTTCTATCAAGTGAAACGCAAATAAATTTTTTTAAATCGACAAGATAACCCTGCTAAAATATTTTGAAATTTCATGTATGGTTCTCTTTTTGTTGTTGTGTTTGTTTTAGGCATAGAATTTTGTCAACGTTTGGCTTCATCTATTGTAAACCATTTAATATTTTTTCATAAATGAAAGATTTTTTTAAAAATTGAATTAATACTATATTGCCAGAAAAATGCATTGCTGTGTCTAAAGACAGCTAAAAATGAAAGATGAGATATAACTTGGATTAATTGCCAAAGTAAAAGGTACATACTGTCTTACTATTTTTCTGTCATATTTTAGGAGAGCATTATTTTAAATACAAAAAGACTGAGAGGGTGAGAGGAAGGGAATGAGACATGGGGAGAAAACTTCCATCAGCTGGCTCACTCCTAATTGTCCCTGATGGCCAGGCATCTCCATGAAGCCAGGGGCTTAATCCTGCTCTCCCAGCTCCATGACAGGAATCCACACCCATCTGCAGCCTTCCCAGATGCATTCTCCAGGAGTGGATCAGAAGGGGAAGGCTGGGACTCAGACAGTTGCTTCCATGTGGGTCCATGGCATCGCAAGAATTAGCTGAATCTGCTGTGTCATATTTTCATGAAGGTTCTTCACACTTCTCTCCGAATCAGTGTGGCATCTCAAGAAATCTGATACGTGAGCAGCACTCATTGGGTTATATGGAAATGCATGTCACCGAGATAATCAGATTTCCTTGTTCTTTGTACTTCATCTACAATGAACTTCCACAGGATTTTTTGCAGGTGAATTTAAGTCTTATTAAGCAATGATAAGTGGCTTGTGAAAGCTACTGAACACAACCAAAACCTGACAGTGTGTCACCTTCCAGAAATGCCTCATGGAACGAATTACAACAAGGATGGTTTGCTGATAACTTACCACCATGCCAGGTGTAGGAAGATTTTCAGAACTCCAATGAAGAAACAAGTGATTTGCCAAAATTCCTATCCCAGCAGCAAGGATAGCAACAATGAATTACATGAGTTTAATTAATCGATGGGCATATTATGACTTTTGAAATTTTATTCTTAACCCTTTTATGGATATAAAGTGAACAGGTATAATATATTTCCTAAATAAAACTCTAAGAAATTATTCATATTTTGCTTCCTTAATTGTTCCTTCTCTTTTTTCCTGCAATCATGTGACTTAATGTTTTTAATCAGAGTCTTAATGATAAGTTAAAATAATTGAGGATTATTGACCAAACAGAGATCACACAGTACAATGCAATGGGTCGTTCATCTGCAGTGTACATAGAAATTTAAGCATTCATAAAAAGGCCAGTGAACACTCTAAGCAAGCTCTGCCTACTCCTCTGATAAATGCATCACAGTGACTGACAGTGAGACTTGAGACATGAAATTACTGGTACTACTCAGCCCCAACACCGTGGGTTCCACTATTCATTAGGGAACGGAAGTCTTTTCAGAGCCCTCTTCATGACTGTTGCTCAGGCTGTAGATGAAGGGGTTCAGCATGGGGGTGACCACTGTGTACATCACCGAGGCTGCTGCAGTTGAGGCTGATCTTGGGACAGCGCTGGCACTGAGGCACACACCTATGCTTGTGCCATAAAATAGCGAGATGGCAGAGAGATGGCACAGGTGGAAATGCTTTGCCCAGTTTTGACAAGATGGAACCGATGGAGGAGGTGAAAGACCCAAAAGAGTAGCAGTCCAGGATCCCAGAGGGAGGAACTCCCACCAGCAGCGCAGTTGCAAATCGTCTTGTGAGGACATTGACAAAGGTGTCAGGACAGGCTATGTGGACCACCTGATGCAAGTCACAGAAAAAGTGAGGGATTTCAAAATGTGTGCAGAATCTCAGCCTCAGCACCAGTAAGCTCTGCATAAGAGCATTCACGACACCAATGGTCCAGCTCATCAGAACCAGCTGCACACAGAGCCAGGGATTCATGATGACCGTGTGGTGCAGGGGCTGACAGATGGCCACAAACCGGTCATAGGCCATCACGGCCAGAAGAAAGTCATCTAATGCCCCAAAGGTTATGGAGAAGAGCATCTGTGTGATGCAGCCTGCATAGCTGATGGCTTGGCTCTGCATCTGGATGTTGACCAGCATCTTGGGGACGGTGGTAGAGGTGAAGCAGACTTCTAGCAAGGACAGGTTGGCGAGGAAGAAGTACATGGGCGTGTGGAGGTGTGGGTTTGAAAAGATGGCAAGAACAAGTAGTAAGTTCTCCCTTAAAGTGACCAGGTACATGGAGAGGAACAGCGTGAATATAATTGTTTGCAGTGAGAATCCGAGGAGAAGGAATTCTGAAAGCTGAGTCTGGTTTCTCAGTTTCATGTGGTGCACGACACTACCAGGAAGATGAAGTTGAACCTGAAGCATATTTATACAAAGAGAATGTCAATAACAGAGTGCAAATCCAAAATTCATTTGTTCCTGTTCAGAATGTGGATCCCACATTTGGAGATGGCTCAGGTTCCATTTTGCTCCTTCCCAGTGAAATCACTGACCAAGAATTTCTTCCACTCTCGGGCCTACCCTGAAGCATCAAACACTTCTCACGTTGAATGAGATATTCTTTGACCCCTTAGAAATTTCTATCCATTAGTGTTTACCACCTCACTAAACATTTTCCAACTAAATGCATGAACAAGGAAGAAGGAGATGAAACAGTGTATAATATGTGGTTTTGTATATGGTAAGAGATACTGGGATTCAATTCTACTTAATGCAGATAAAATGGTCTTTAATCATAAAATGGGAGTCACAACTGTGTCATTATGAGTAAATGATTCATTCAGCTAGACAAAAGGGGATCACAAGTGATGTCAAATATTAAGAACAAATCAATGTGGGGCAGGTAAGAAATATATGTAAAAGTGACTTCTTAAGACTGAGTTTGCAGAATCAAATTGTTTTGTAGATTTTAATTGCAGTGGATTTGCAACTCAGGATGAGTGTGTGATTTGACAACAAAAAAATACAAGCTTTCACAAGTTCTCTTAAATTTTACTAAGAAGGTACATCAAAGTGTCTCCAAATGCAGGTGACAGTTTCATTTATTTTTGTGTATGCATTTTGCAAATAGGGAATTCCCCAAAGTTTGATGACCTCTTATAAGTATGGATTAAACAGACATTTGTGACCATAAGTAAGTTACTATTTTTTTAAAGATTTATTTTATTTTCATTACAAGGTCAGATATACAGAGAGGAGGAGAGACAGAGAGGAAGATCTTCCGTCCAATGGTTCACTCCCCAAAAGAGCGCAATGGTCAGTGCTGTGCCAATCCCAAGCCAGGAGTCAGGAACTTCTTCTAGGTCTCCCACACAGGTGCAGGGTCACAAAGCCTTGAGCTGTCCTCAACTGCTTTCCCAGGCCACAAGCAGGAAGCTGGATGGGAAGCGGAGCTACCGGGATGAGAACCGGCACCCACATGGGATCCAAGCGCATTCAAGGCATGGAGTTTAGCTGCTGTGCCACAGCATTGGGCCCTAATAAGTTAGCTTTTTCAAAGAACTCATTGGCAGGGGAAAAAAAAAACTGTCAAAAATGGCCAATCCTTTTACGTAAAAAGACAATAAAACACAGGAATAAAGCTCTCTCACCTTGAAGCACACCAGGAAAGTGTGAAATTGCAGGGGAAATGCAAGACACTGGAAAGCCTTGAGTGTATCCAACTCACAGAGGATGCAATTTCTGCCAAGCAGGTATCTTTGCTGGAGCCCTTCTTACTGCATCATTAACCTTGAGTCATCTGAGAACACAGTGTGAGAGCAGAGAGAAGTCGGTTAGACACGCGTGTTCTAGCAGCTGCTCCCATCAGGATCTCCACGCAGACATTTCCCCCTCCCTGGTCCTTTCCTGTCAGTAAGGGATAGTTGGTCCCAAAGCAAAGGAAGAGAATTTTTAACTCGGTCTACAGCGGCTGTTCCAGGGCCAGGGGGTTGCCATTTTCCCCCTCTCCAGTTAGTTTTGAATGTGGAACAACAAATCTCTCTCGCACTGGCAAACTGCTATGATGTCACTGCAATACATGTCCCAGCACAAAGGAAATTGCTTCTCTACTCCCCCAAACCTCCAAATGCTGCCAAGCTGGCTCCATGTACTCTAGGCAGTTTAAACCTCTCATTATCTCTGAGAGTTGATCTTTTCAAGCCCTCATTTCTTTTTTTTTTTATTAGCAATGATCATTGCTCTGGAAGATTCAACATTTTCCTGCTCAATGATAATCACTGACATATGCAATCATAGTTAAGTATATGAGCCAACAACCCCAGAACTATCTGGTATGTTCGCTCAGCTCCTGCATGACTCTAGAGAAAGTACTCTATGTCCACAGTCCGGGGCCATTCCTGCTGCATTATGATTCACCTGCATGGGAACATGGGTGCTGGATGCTGGTGATGGAAGCTTCTTCTGAGACACAGCAGAGCAAAAGAGGGAAGCACTGGTCCCTGAGTCAGACTTGGACCTCAAATGCCATGACCTGGCTGCTTCTATCTCAAGGTTGTACAGACTGAGGGGCCACAGCAGAGGAGCTCCTTACAGCTCCTGGCACCTGCTCATTAGGCAGCTCCCTGACCTCTAAGCACCTGCTGGCCCTGAGGGACTGTGGTCAGGACAGAAACAAGTGTTTCCTAAGAGACCATGATTCACCCATGTGAATCTTCTTTTCCTTTCTCCTGCTCTGTGGCAATTGCAATAGCAAATATTTATTTCCTCACCTTAAAATATTTTCTCTTTGTGAAACAAGCCAGTTCCCTAAAGACAAATATCATGTTATGAATTTTAGTGCCAAAATAATCTAGAAACGGAAAAGGCATTTGAGATTCGATTGCTTTTTTCTACTCATGGGATACTTGACGTCTGTAATTTTTTTACTTGTTGAACATAAAGGTTAGTTGTATGCTAAGCCTGTGGCTGCCGGTAAATTCTTCTACTATCCAATTATTTTACTTTAGGATATTAAATGTATTTTATTTACGTTATTTTGAAGTTAAGCAATACTCGATTATCCTCTGACAAATTTATGACTTGAAATATTTATTACATTTGTTTCACACATTTTACATGATAGGCTTATTTGTGATGCTGCGTAGCAAGCAGTTTGCATTGGAATGTGCTAGAGAATATAAAAGGATCAGTGATTAAATACAATGTCATTTCGAACATTTGACCAACCAGTTCCAGGAAGTCTATTCATTCCGCATGGATTTCCAGTAGCAATGATGTAATCACAGCGGGGACATTAGCCTATCTCTGTGACTTCCTGTTTACTTGCTGGCAAGATCAACTCTACCTCCTGGCCCTGGGCCAGCCGCCATCTTACAACGGCCCTTCCCAATCCCAGGAGTGGCTTTAGCACCCCGCTCCCCACAATACCATCTCCACCTTTTTTTATTCTGAGATGGTTCTCTTTGTACCAAAGGATGGCATATACATTAACTAAAGTGAACAGAACAGGTCATAAAACTCTGGGGAATTTCATTGTGGCACTGGTTTCCATGTTGGAAGATAATCTTTATTAACAATGTGTTGCTCAATTTCACTTCTAACACTGCTGTTACAAAGTTGTGATATGGAGGCTGCCTTCTGGGGAGTCAAAAGCTTTAGAAAGTCACACGTATTGGAGCAAGAACCTGTGAGATGCTGACACACATGACTTGAGGAGAGCTCAAATTCTGTGAGCTGATGTTGAAGAGACCCCTGAACACGAAGGGGCAGTGGAATGTAGCGTGTCCATGTGGATCTCTCAGCATCTCCATTCCTCTCCTGGAGTGGCTTTGCTAAATTCAGAAAGGGATGAATATCTCCTTCAGGGCACGCAAGGAGTCAAGGTCAAGGTTATCTCTGCACCTTTCTAGGCAGGTGCAAAAAAAAATTTTTAAGAAAAGGTATATCCAACATTCATTCACCCAAACCCAGACCCCCACACCTGGACCACATGACCCTTTCAGCACAAAGTACTTGGACAGAGGAGAGCAGAAAAGTATCCCACACAAGGTAATTAAAATGAAAAATTGTTCTTCTTATATTGAAGGAGATTTCTGAATCTTATTCATTTAACGAAAATCTCTTTACATGGGTCTCAGATGGGCAATGAAATGGGATGAGTTTGTTTGTTTGTTTGTTTGTTTGTTGAGAAACAGAATCTCATTTTTGTTCATGACTGTGTGTAAAAATGCAGTCACACAATCAGCTCCAATTGCATGACCATAGGCAGAATCCAACCAGTACTCACACACTCAGCTTTGACACCAAAGTCTCTACTGTTTGGGAATAGATTGCACATAGTAATGATGGAAAAAGATCAGAGTTTCATTCTGCCCTAAGAGTGTGTAATTGTCATCTCTGACCATAGTAGGAGTCCAGAAAAACGTTTTTATTTTAATGATTCTTAAATGCATGTGATCTGAAAAATAAGCTACTAAGAAGGACATTGAATACTGTCATTGGATGTGATTTGACAAGACACTGTATCATGAGGAATGTGGACTTTTCAATTCTGCACCCTTAACCTCATGCAGCTCAAGGAGCATGTATAATTGTTATACTAACTAGGACACCTATCAAAAGTCATCTGGTATACCTATGCATTGGAATGCCCTGCCCCCGCCATCAAAAGAATGAAATCTTGTCTTTCTGCAGTAAATTTGGAGCAACTGCAGATTATTACGCAAACTAAAATTGGCCAGAAGGGGGAAAATGATGTGGTAGTGAGAATAAAAAAGAGTCCGGTGTGAAAGTCCAGTGGCTAAGTCATTGCCTTGCATTAGCTGGAATCCCATTTGGATGCCAGTTCCTCTCCAGGCTGCTCCACTTCCCATAAAACTCCCTGTTTGTGTCCTGGGAAAGCATTAGAGGATGACCCAAACCTTCAGAACCTTCTCCCATGTGGGAACCCTGGAAGAAGCTCCTTGCTTCTGGCTCCTCAACAGCTCAGCTCTGGTCTTTCTGGGTATTTGGGGAGTAAACCAGCAGATGGAAGATGCAATGCTTCTCTACATAAAATCACCTTTCCAATAAAAATTTTAATTATAAAAAGTGTAGTGGAGAAGAACATGGGTGATGAGGAAGTATACCCTGGGAAGTACACTAAATGCCTTCTGTGAGATACATGAAACCTACACATTTTATACAAATAAAATGAGGTGTTTTAAGTGTAATCTACA